AAACTCGGAGGTCCGCGCGAACTTCTCGGATCGGCGCTGCAGGCCCCCTGGCGACGCCTCCGGCGCCGCCCCTGGCGCGCTCCGCGCACCTGGGAGGGGTGGTCCTGCGCCTCTTCGAGAAATCCGCGCGGACCTCCGAGTTTTTATGCTTGCGTCGCTGCTTGCTTCCCTCTGACTTTTTTTCATGACTCGAGGGGGTCGCGCTCGCCACGGCCCCGACCAGGAGCGGGAGCGGGAGCGGGAGCGGGAGGAGGAGGAGGAGGCGGAGGCGGAGGAGGAGGGGGAGGCGGAGGAGGAGGCGGAGGAGGCGGAGGAGGAGGCGGAGGAGGAGGAGTTGGCGGAGGAGGAGGAGGAGGAGGAGGAGGAGGAGGAGTCCCGAGGAGGAGGAGGAGGCGGAGGAGGAGGAGAAGGAGTCCCGAGGAGGAGGAGGCGGAGGAGGAGTTGGCGGAGGAGGAGCAGGCGGAGGAGGAGGCGGAGGAGGCGGATGCGGAGGAGGCTTGTGTTCCGCAGCCACGACGGAAAGTCTGTGTCGCTCCTCTCGGCCTCTGGGGGCCCTTCTTCGACCGGGCCTCGGGGGGCCGTGGCACAACGCGGCGGGGCATTGGGTGGAGGCCCCTTCGAGCGCAGGGGATCAACTAGCTAGAGCATGGATTTACCCCGAAATGTTCGTCGAATCTGGAAAGGAAATTGATCGATCGTCGGATTTTAGTCGACAGTGAACTACAGACATCGAGTTTCGTCGCATCTGGAAAGGGAGAAATCAAACGTCCGTGGACTGCTGGCGAAACTATTCCTTCGGCGATTCGGCGAACAAATCAATTTGGGGGTAAATCAGTTCTGCATTTGATCTCCTACTCGACCTCTGGTGGTCGACGCCATGAGAAAAAACATGGTGGCGTCGGTCTGGCGCCTCAGAAAAAATGCGCGGCGCCCGGTTTTTTGCCACTGCTCTCGGCCTCTCGACGCCCTGGCAGGGAATCGGGGCCATCCAAAGACACGACTTGGCGGTGCGCACAAGGGGGTGGAGGGAGGGGGAGGGGCTTCTTAGGAGGAGGCTGCTTCCTAGGAGGCGCCGGCCTATTACACCTATGGAGAAGGCCCGCGCCTTCTAAGAAGCAGGGGTGCTTCTAAGAAACCCTCCCCCCTCCCCCCACCTTAGTGGGCCCTGGAAACGACAGGGCCGTTTTTTTACCGGTTCCGTTTTGCCGTTTTTTCGCCGGTTCCGACACCGTTGTTTTACCGGTTCCGTCGCCGTTTTTTGACCGGTTCCGGCTCCGATTCCAATCCTGGAGCCGTTTTTCTGCCGTTTCCGGCCGCCGTTTTTGTTGCCGCTTCCATTTTCAAGGGAGATCTTTTGGGGAACCGGTGAAAAAAACGGCACTGCCGTTTCCGGGGCCCACAAGGCCCCCCGCGCCTTCTAAGAAGCAAGGGTGCTTCTAAGAAGCCCTCCCCCTCCCCTCCTCCTCCCCCTCCTCCTCCTCCTCCTCCTCCTCCTCCTCCTCCTCCTCCTCCTCCTCCTCCTCCTCCTCCTCCTCCTCCTCCCCTCCCCCCTCGGCGCGTGACCGAACGACCCGGGATGAGAGACCGGCCCCGGAGAAGTGGTCGACAGGTCGGGGGCCCGTGGCTCTGACAGCGTCGAGGCGCCGGAGGTCTGGGCGCGGGCCACCTGTCTGCGCGAGAGGACGATGCGGCCTCGCGCCGCGGCTTACGCTTCGGTCGGGCATGTCCCCACACAGGGGGATCTTGGACGAAACATGAAGAACAGTAAACCGAAAAATGCAAAAATATCTCAAAATTCCCCCCCCCCCAAAAAAAAGCGTCCCCGTACGATTTTGTTACTATTCTTGATTATTCCTCCTGTAGAGGGACAGGCCCCACCTGAGCTTACGCGGGCCGTCAGTGCGGCACGCTACACCGGCACCGTTTCCTCCTCCGAGTCGGATGTCTGGGCGTGTCTCGACGCTGGGGAGCGCACAAAAGTCGTACGCGCCCAACCCATGTGCATGCTCACGGCCCCCCGATCCGCGAGATCGGCCGCGTGATACGGACGTTCGCGCAATGCGTACGTTCCAGACCCCCGACGTCATGATTCCTTCGTGACGTCGACCCCTTAAAGTTTTCGACCCATTCCCCGGGACCGGTTTTTCATCCGGAGTCGTTTGTTCACGGTCCCGAGGCCTGGCGAGGGCCCCCAGAGGCCGAACAAAGCGAAAACCCTCCCGTCGTGATTTTTGTTCATGACACGGTCTCGAAACCAGCGGGGACTCCTGTACGTGTGCGTCCGCCTGTCGCTCCTATGACTAGATCGAGCATGTCCCCCTACAGGCGGATTTTGGACGGAACAGTATATATATGTATGTATGTGTGTATGTATGTATGTATGTATGTATGTATGCATGCATGCATGCATGTATGTATGTATGTATGTATGTATGTCTGTCTGTATGTATGTATGTGTGTATGTATGTATGTATGTATGTATGTATGTATGTATGTATGTATGTATGTATGTACATATGTATATATATGTGTACACATATATATATTACATATATATATATATATATATATATATATATATATGTAAATATGTATGTGTATAGATATATACATATATATTCGAAGATACGTACACATGAGGAAAAGTCGTCCCCTGACTATTTTTATTCTTTCCGAATATGCCTCCTGTAGAGGGACAGACCCGACAACATCCTATGAGGCGCCTGGTCCTCCAGCGCGCCCGAGGGGCCAAGCGCCAGAGCGCCCGGCTGCCGCGCGCCCGCCGCCCGCGGCGGCGTGCTCCGGGGCCGCAGCACGGCCTCCGCCTGGCCCGCGAGCCTGGCGGTCTTGAAGCCCCACCAGACTGATAGGTCGGGCAGGTCCTCCTACAGCGAGCGTTGGAGTATTTATATATATATATGTATGTATATGTATGTATGTATGTATGTATGTATGTATGTATGTATGTATGTATCAATGTATGAATGTATGAACGTATGGATGGATGGATGGATTGATGTGTGTATGTATGTCTGTCTGTCTGTCTGTCTGTCTGTCTGTATGTATGTATGTATGTATGTATGTGTGTATGTATGTGTATATGTATGCATGTGTGTATGTATGTATGTGTGTATGTATGTGTACATCTATATATATATATATATATGTGCATGTGTGTATGTGTATGTATGTATGTATGCATGCATGTATGTGTGCATGTATGTATGTAGGTATGTATGCATGCATGCATGTATGTAGGTGTGTATGTATGTGTGCATGTGTATATGTATAACTGTGTTTTCTTGATACAAGCAAGCAGACATTCTTAACACAATCCCTCGAGCCACGAAACAAATTACGAACATCCATTTCGCTATTGTCAGCATCTGGGGGCCCAAACCGGGCCTCGGAACTGTGAAAAAACGATTTGGGATGAAAAACTGGTCCCGAGGAATGGGTCGAGACTTGGGGGGGTCGACGTATTGAAAAATCATGACGTCGGGGGTCTGGGAGACGGTCTGGCGACCAACCAGACCACCCCAACCCAGCCCGAAGTCCCAAATTCTGGGGGCTGGGGTCCCAGACCCCCTCGAGCCACGAAAGAAAATCACAAAGGTCTTTCGCTATTGTCAGCCTCTGGGGGCCCTTACTGGGCCTCGGGATGGTGAGAGAACGATTCGGGATGTAAAACTGGTTCCGGGGACGGTCCCTGGGAATGGTGCGAGACCGCTGGGGTCAGGCTGGGCATGTCCCCCATACAGGCGGATTTTGAACGATACCCCAAAAGGACCCCAACATATTCAAACACAAATGCTCGAAAAATCGTTCCCAGACTATTCTTGGATTCTTTATTTGACAGTCCTGCTGTGGAAGGACACGCCCGACTTACCGCGGGGGGTCGACGCCATGACAAACGTCCTGACGTCGGGGGTCCGGTGGTGATGCGGGGGCGTCTGGCCTCCGTGATTTTGTCGACCTCTCTGGGCCGAGACGCCCGGCTGCCCCAATGTTTGTTCGATGCGCATCATGCGCATCGAACAAAAATCATGCGCATCATGCGCATCATGCGCAGCGCATGGGCGCCAGAGATCTGGACCACGAGGCCTGGCGAGGGCCCCAGGACGCCAGAAGCGACCCCCCCAAAGCCGCCGCCCGCCCCCGCTTTCGTGGGGGCGTCGGACCTCTGGGAAAGGCCCCCCACCGCCCCCCCCAAAGTTGGGAGGGGAGGGCAGCCTGGGGCCTCCGGGTCGGGTTGGGGTGGTGGTCTGGCGGGCGGTGGCGGTCTGGCCCTCCGCTTCGTCACCCCGCTGCACGCAAGAACGACCCTCGGCGAGGGCGCGACGCCCTGTTGCGAACCAAGCGCCACGTCAACGGCTTGGAAAAACAGATCTCGGGCCCAGGAGACCTCAGAAATGGATCCGGGGTCCTCTGCTGTGGAGGGCGTTTTAGTTCCACGGGACATAAATCCTTTGTTTGGTTTTTATAGATACATATTGTACATGTGTACATATATATGAACAAAAAACATCGGTCCACATGGATTCACCGTCTTCAGCTTCAGGGGGGTCGCGCTGGACAGATCTGACGTCGCAGAAAAAAAGCTGCGTCGCGAGAAATCACGACCAGAGCCCTGGGCCCCACCTTCCTGCGCCGTTGCTTGAGCTGGGTCGATCTATGAGGGCCCCAGGGCCCTTAAACGCGCGAAAACCCCCGTTGTGAAACAATGCAACGCCAAGGTCTCGGGTGCCACCCCCGACCCCAAGCCTGCTCCAAGGGGGATGACTGACCCAGACCCCCGACGTCATGTTTTGTTCGCGACGTCGACCCCCAGGGGGCTCGACCCATTTCCCGGGACCAGTTTCTCATCCAGAATCGTTTTGTCGACGGCCCCGAGGCCTGGCAGGGCCCCGAGCGGCCGAAAACAGCATAAACAAATCCGTCGTGATCTCAGCTGCTCCGATACGCAACGCGCAACGCGTAGCGTGTTGACACGGAGTTCAACACCGAGATTGAAGACTCGCGTGTGGCGCGATGCGTTCGCCAGAACGTGACCCGACACGCGCCGAGCAACACGCAACCTGTCGACACGGACGTTTTGAACACGGTACGTGCTGCGTTTCAGCACGGGCGTATCAGGGCAGCCAATTGAGCAGGGCTCGACCGCCCCGGCATGCCTATAGGCCTACCACGAAATCTGTTCAAACCCAGAAGTGTTCGAACAGAGATGTGTGTTCAAACAGGACGGTCTCAGCCAGGAATGCTCGAAGAACATGTCGTGCAGACCACAAACAGGTTCTTAGAACATTGTTGTGGGCCTACAGGCAAGCCAGGACGCTTCACCACTGCACGAGCTGAGCTCGTGATGTTTTCATGACTCGAGGGGGGTCTCCCGCGGGGCCTCTCGAGCTCCGCGCTGCTGGCGCCATCGCCGCGCGGGGAAGCGCCGTCCCGCAGGATGTCCTCCATCGCCGCCCCCTGCCGATGGGCAACGGGTGAGCCCAAACTGCAGGCATTAGGTCGGGCGTGCCGCTCTACAGGAGGATTACTCAGAAACAGCCGAACAAATCTCTTATGTCTGTATCAGTTAGGTACACTTGTTGAACATGGGGAGGACAATAGTTTGAGCATTTGTTGGCAATTGCTTGACCATCTGTTGATCATGTGTTGCTGGCATCTTTGATCATGCTTGACCATTTGTACGACGGAATTTCTGTCCAAAATCCGCCTGTAGGGGGACATGCCCGACCTAGCGCTAGCACGGATGCGCGATGGGGATGTAAAGGGCCTTGCACGCCCAGGCGGCAACTCCTCCCGAGAGCGGCGGACATCACCGAGGGCAGACCGGGATGGACCGCACAGGCACGGACGCAAGGGTACCCCTGGGAAGGCTGTGAGCGTCTTCGCGACCCATGGATTTGGCGCGCGGTCGTCAAGTCCATGGATCGGGGGAGGTGCCCTCCCAAAAATGCGGCAGGTGCCGCCTCGCTCGGAGGCAGAAATACGCGATTTCCCGTGGAAACGGGCCCCGTCGCTAATCCACGCCCCTTTAATCCATGTTTGCGAACGCATGATTCTACATTTTGCGGAAAGGGGGGGAGGGGGGGGTCTGGCTCCGGATCTCTGCTCACGGCGGCTGGTTGCAGCAGCGTGTCCTGTGGGGGAGGGGCCCCGCCTGCTCGAAAGAGGTACCAAACAACAGCCCAGATCAACTCCACGTGGTGGGGGGAGGGGGGGGGGGGTGCGAGGGCCCGCGCCGAGCGGCAAACAAGTGAACAAAAAAACGATCACTATCCTTACCCTCGGTCTCGACTGCAGTGGGGGGGAATGGCCTAGGGTTATGTTGTTCCCATCCGACTCAAGGACCGCATCCCAAAAATAACATCGAGCACCCAGAAAAGTGTCAAAAGAGCGTCGAAAATAACATCGAGCACCCAGAAAAGTGTCAAAAGAGCGTCGAAGGAGTGTCGAAACAGTGTCGGGCGAGGGTCTCCCAGGGCCCGACGCGTGAAAACCCTCGAGTTGTGGGCTGCGCTCAAAAAATCATTTCTGGTGATCACAAGGCTATAGTAGGCTGGAACATCATCAGCCTAAGGGGGGGGGGAGGGAGCCTGGACCCGGAGCCAGAGAGGACCACCTGGCCGACAGGCTGGCGGCAGGCCCCCGACGGCAGCTCCCCGCGCTCCTATGGCCGGGCTGGGGCCGTCCGGGGCCCCTGCTGGCGATGCGCTCCTCCTCCTCCTCCTCCTTCTTCTCCACCTCCTCCTCCTCCTCCACCTCCTCCTCCTCCTCATCCTCCTCCTCCTTCTCCTCCTCGTCCTCCTCCTCGTCCTCCTCCTCGTCGGCGATGCGCATCGATTCGGCGACTGGGCACCCACGCGCATGCCCCCTCTCCGCGCCCGCCCCCCATGCAGCTCGGCATCCGAGTCTGTGCAGATCTAGATCGGCGCACACCGATCTATCGATCGATCGATCTCTCTCTCTCGATCGATCTGTCGAACTCTATCTGTCTATGGCTGGCCAGGAGGTGTACGGGATAGAGAAGTGACTCTGCCGATGTGGCCCACACCGTCTGTGACAGAAGGAAGTGCCGGAGCGAAGAGGGCCGCCGGCGCACCACGCGCGCCACAAGGGGCCCTGTGCCGAGCAGCGCCCGGCCAGCGCGAGCCCCGGCCCAAGGGCACGCACGGGAGCCCCGCACGGGGCGCACAAGGTCCCCCCAACACAAAGGCTTGGGTCGGGCCTGTCCCCCTTACAGGCGGATTTTCGACGAGAAATAAAAAGAACACAGACAAAAATCAAAACATAATAAGAAATTACTCGAAAAAATACTCACACAAAAACCAAAACATTAAAAGAAAATACAAGAAAAATAACTCCCAGACAAGTCTTTGACCATTTTGACGATTGCTCCTGTAGAGGGACAGGCCCGACTGCACACAGGGCCCTGCGCACAACTTGCCACCGCCCGGACGTCCATGCCCCGTGCTTGTTTCGGTTTCGGTGCCGTGCGTGCACTTTTTGCTCAATAATCCATGGATGCTCTTCGATGGATCTCGCCGGGCAAAAATAGGGGGCCAGATGCGAACCCTACCCCTGCCCCCCACGATTTCCCAGGGGGAGAGTGGGGTCCACTTCGCTCGGGAGCTCCCGAACGAAGTGAACCCCACCCTCCCCCTCAGAAACCGTGGGGGGCAGGGGTAGGGTTCGCATCTGGCCCCCTAAAACATGCACACGGCTGAACGATGCCAAGCTATTGGGAAGCCTCTGCCGATCCCCCCCTATCGTTGCCCTTGGCCTGCTGATCCAGCAGGGCCTCCAGCTCGTGGATGGCCGCGCGCTGCAGGGACAGCATCGTCTGGTGCTTCTCGCCCACCGCCTGTCCCAGATCCCCTCGCTCGCCCTCGGTCGGACGTCCATTCCCCGTGCACGTTTCGGTTTCGTGCGCGTTTTTGTTCGCCTGACGGTCCAAAAGATGCTTCCCTTTGGTCCTCGCCGAGAAAACATGCACACGTCCGAGCGATGCCAAGCTCGAGCCAGGCTTCGCTATACTGGGGGCGGGCCCCGGGGCCGTGAACAGAAACGACCCAGGAGGCAAAGCCGGTCCCAGGGAATGGGTCGAGATCTCGCCAGCCACTTGAATAATTCCTTGTAGGGGCCCAAGAGGAGGGAACGTAGAGGGACGGCTTATTGCAACATCTTTGACGGGTCTTGGGTTTACACTGATCCTCCTCTTCCCCTCCTCCTCCTCCTCCTCATCCTCCTCCTCCTCGAGCCGACGTTATGAACAAAACCATGACGTCTGGGGCCTGGGTCTGGCCTGGAGGGCATCGCGCGCGCAATGTGTGTCTTCCGGGGCTGGGCTCTGCGCGTGCGCGCGCTCCGAGGGGGGCCCCCGCTCGGCGGCATGGCGACGTCGGCAAGAAAGCTGGCCGGGCCTCTGATGCCCGACGGCTGTGTTCTCCGGACGGGTTCCGACTGCCACGTTGAGGGGGGAGGAGGAGGAGGAGGAGGAGGAGGAGGAGGAGGAGGAGGAAGAAGAGGAGGAAGAAGAGGAGGAGGAGGAGGAGGAAGAGGAGGAAGAGGAGCAGGAGCAGGAGCAGGCGCAGGCGCAGGAGGAGGAACCTGACCTTTCCCCTCGTGGAGGGTGGAGCGCTCTCGGGGATCTTCTGACCCGGGTCAATCCAGACCCCAGTCAGTCAGGCCTTGCAAGATCCTGCAAGATCCTGCGCCCAAACCTGGGCCAAGGCGAAGGATCCTGCAGGATCCTGCACCCCAAACCCGGGTCAATGTGCCCCTGGCCCTGCAGGGTCCTGCAAGATCGGGCGCTCTGGCTGACCCGCTCCTGCGCCTGCTCCTGCTCCTGCTCCTCCTCCTCCTCCTCCTCCTCCTCCTCCTCCTCCACCCTCCTCCTCCTCCTCCCCTCCTCGTCCTCCTCGTCCTCCTCCTCCCCTCCACCTCCTCCTCCTCATCCTCCTCCCCCTCCTCCTCCTCCTCCTCCTCCTCCTCCTCCTCCTCCTCCTCCTCCTCCTCCTCGCGGAGGGTGGGGCGCTCGTTGGAAGAGGGCCTGCCGGTGCGCAGAGGCGGCGGGCCCAGCGCCTCGACCCCTGGGGCCTTCCCCATGGGGCGCCAGCTCTGCCGTGCGGGCCTCCGTGCTCGACGGCCCCGGGGCCCAAGAGGAGCACCGCGAGGGCTCCTGGGATGCGTGTCGGCGTGCCGAGCACGTCGAGTACCTCGAGGACCTCGAGGAGCACCTCGAGGGCCTCGAGGTCCTCGAGGGGCATATCGAGGAGCACCTCGAGCGCCTCGGGGAGCACCTCGACGGCCCAGCACCTCGAGGGCCCGGGGCTGCGAGGAAGCCTCCAAGAGCGCGTATCTGTACTTTCGGCGACGCCAGGCATTGCAGGGGGCTCCCAACTTCGCGCTTCGCGCTGCGCGAAGCGCGAAGTGCGAATAACTTCGCGCTCTCGCGCCGCCTCCCAGGGGAGAGGAGGAGGATGAGGGGGAATCGGAACCGAAGCGCGAAGCGCGAATAATTTCGCGCCCTCGAGGGTGCCCTTGATTACAGGGGGGGGGGGAGGGCCAGGGGGGGGTATAATGTAACGCCTCCCCCCCCGCCGTGCGCACGGAGGCTGCGCCCAGAGCGCACTGGGGGGGGGGAGGGGCGTTACGTTATATGGGGGGGAGGGGGGGGGGCCGGGGGCTATAATGCCCATGATGCCCCAAGCAATAAAGAAACACGCTCCAAGGCTCAGGCGTCCGACGAGCTGCTGTTTAAGATGCGCGGCCCCAGAGGTCCCGACCCCTGCCACGAGAACAAGTCTTCCGCCCCGGATCCGTTGATGAGGGTCCCAGGACACGGAAGCAGGCCCCAGAGGCTGCCATGGGGGAGACACTCCTGGATTGAAAGCATCACATCGTCGGAGATCTGCCGAGGAACACAAAAGGCATAAACATAAACTTTTGGAGCATGCAGGTCTGAGATCCGCACTGGACCCCCCCTCCCTGGCGCGAGGAGCGCGCCAGGGCTGGCGCTGGAGGCGCCACCAGGGGGCCCAGCGCCAATCCAAGAAATCCGCGCGGAGCGTCGAGAAACCCCACCAGCCCTCTGGGCGCAGGTGGTCTAACGATATTGTTCTTGCCTCTTCCAAACCCTCTCTTTCCTCATGGGAGGTGTACCCTCCCCCTCCCCTCTCTCAGGATTTCAGGATCCCAAGATGGCTCAAAATGGCTCCACGAGAGCCTCCGATGCTCCAAGATGGCCTCCGCTCCAAGATGGTTCTAAGTGCTCTCGGAGCCCCCTCGGGACCCTCCCAAGAGGCCCAAACCCTTCCAAAATCGCAGGAGCTCAATGGTGTGCGCGTCTTCGCCTTTTCGTTTCCGATGTGCTTGTTTGAAGACTCAAGATGGGCCCAAGATAGCCCAAGAGAAGCCCACGAGGGGCCCAAGAGGCCCCCCCAGACGGCCCCAAGAGCGCCCAAGCGAGCCCCAGGATGGGAACAGGTGATTTCGAGGGCCCCAAAGAGGGCAGGCAAATCCGGGACCCCCCACCCTTTGAATGATGGCCTCCAAGATGGCCCCGGGACGCCCTCCAGAGCTCCCAGGAGGGCCCCAGGAGAGCCCCAATAGGACCCCTCGTCAACCTTTCTTCCTCGTCCTCTTCCTCGTTCCCCTTCTCCTCCTCGTCCTCGTCTTCGTTTTCCTCAGCTCCTCGTCATTGCTCTTGCTGTCCTCCTCGACATTGTCCTCCTCTTTCTCGTATTCCCTCTTCTCCCCCTCTTTCACCTAGGTCTCTCATCGTCGTCAATATCCTCCTACTCTTCATCCGCATCCTCATTTCACCATGGTTGCCTGCTCTGGTTCACTGTTTGCGTCTCTTCCCCCGGTTTCCCGTCAGCTCTCATGGGCAACGTGTCTGCATGGGCTAGTGGGAATAGTCGAGGCGTGAACAACCATGCTTGTGCCGTTTTCGGTAATTCCCTCACTGCTTCATTCGACGCCTGGTGCTCCGCCAACTCCAGGCCTCAGCGCCCAGCTCGCCGTACGGATGCCCCGACCGCAGGGGACGAAGGACGGCATCAAAGAATATGTTCCTCCGTCGGGGACGCCTGCCCCGGGGCGGCTGGAAAGCTCACACCGCTACGGTGGCACTGTGAGGGTACAGACTTTCCAGCCCAGCTGGGGCAGGCGTTCCCGACGGCGGAACAATTCGTTTGACACCGCCCTTCGCCCGCTGAAACGACCGCGCAGCCATGGCACGGCCACCGGCCGCCGGCCCGCGGGATCCGCCAACGCGCGGTCGATCCGCCACCGCGCCGACCGCCTCGGCCGGCAGCACACATGAGGAGGAGGAGGAGGAGGAGGAGGAGGAGGAGGAGGAGGAGGAGGAGGGGGAGGAAGAGCCAGAGGAGCACAAGGACGAGGAGGAGGACGAGGAGGAGAAGGAGGAGAGGACCAGGACGAGGAGGACGAGGAGCACCATGAGGAGGATGCGGAAGAGACGGAGGAGGAGGAGGAGGAGGCGGAGGAAGAGAAGGATAATGAGGAGGACGACGAAGAGGAAGAAGAAGACGAGGAAGAGGAGGAGGGGGGCACTACGTCTAAGCTTACCAAGCGGCATGTAGAGCTACGCTTGCTACCTGTACGTGCACTGATACCGCAAGGCAGCGGTTGCATGCTGACTTCACTACGCATAGCTGATACTACCTGACATGCATTGCTTACCACAGGGGTACGCTCACCAACAGTCACTGCTGTACTTCACCCACCCACCCGCTTGCGCATTGCTCTAGCTATTCTGCTAGGGTGTCATGCAAGTTATTGGGCTCAAAGCTGCTACATACATGATAGACATACACCGTGGACGGTGTGAACTACAAACCCACCGATGATGCGCCAGGAGCATACCTACATGCGGAGACAGACATATGACTCCGAGGCCTCCCGTACCAACACAAGAGGAAACAACTTATGACACTGCAGAAGATGGGAGACAGTGCCTTACAATCCGAGACATCAAGGCGGCCGTGCACCACTAATTCCAAGGACTGATACAACAAACGGATCAACATCTACAAGGCCAAGTGCTCGGAGCTGAATGACCATCATACGGACAATAACCACCTGTGCATCTCTGGGATGAACACTGGCACACTATCAGAACTTATGTCCTGGCTGAGAGTCAGCCATACGACTGCGCGCTAAGGTTCGGCTGCTACCTGCCCTGGATGTCCGACAAGGACGACTACGTCACTCTCGAAATCAGCACGGGAATCCCTACCCTTAGGCATCTCAAGAAAACACATGTGGCCAAACAGTACAGGCAACATAACGACATAGAGCCAGACCTATACACGCACGTAAAGATCCATCACATAAGATAACAGCTTTCATGATATGCCTCTGAACAACAGCGCGAGAGTCCATTACCAGCCCACGACCAGACGTGGCAATAAGGACAACGTGGACGTGCTCGACCTTCATGGCAGTCCCACCACGCAGGACTACGCGCAGGACTACGTGAACAACTACGGCCTGCCTTCCACGCCTGGGAACAACGGCATGCGCACGCTGCAGATCCACAACGGGAATCACCAGCGTGCGCGTGGAGAGCCCGACGATGGCGATCACAGAAACGTACTGCTTCAATCTAAAGGTATTCGATACTGATACAGGCGACCGACAGCTGGAGGAAGGTACGACGCCGTCAGCGCTGCGGACAAGGTACGCCGTGCACGCACCACGCTACGCGCAGGGCACGCCGTTCCTAGTCCCTCCTTCTTGATTTACTGAACGACGCGGCCGCTCCCATAACTCCCCCTCCCCCCTCGGTTCAGGATCAGGGATTAGATGGTCACCTTCCTCCCACTCCCACCCCCCCGAAAGGGCGGGCCCCAGCAAGGCCGCCGACGCGAGCGCGAGCCGGCGAGCGGCAGCGCGGAGGCCTCTGGGATCGCCCGAAGGCGTTGCGAGAAAGAGAGAGAGAGAGAGAGAGAGAGGACCTTGACCTTGACCAAGCCTAGGATCCTCAGCAGAGCCGAATACACGATGGAACGCATCGCTGCTTCGTCGCCATCGGATCTGGCTGAGAGTGCATTACAGTAGTTCACTTCGCTGAGACGGCCTGCTGTCGCCACCAAGCAGTCGGGCCCAGGCGCACTTGGCCCCCGCGCAGGGGCGTCAGGCGATGCAGCACTTACTCATACTGTAGGATGGCAGAGAGAGGAGGAGGAGGAGGAGGAGGAGGAGGAGGAGGAGGAGGAGGAGGAGGAGGCGGAGGAGGAGGAGGAGGAGGAGGAGGCGGAGGAGGAGGCGGAGGAAGAGGAGGAGGAGGAGGAGGAGGAGGCGGAGGAGGAGGAGGAGGAGGCCGACGTCGGCGGCCCGCGCGCACGGCGATCGCCGCGGCCTCGACACCCACCGGCCGCGCAGCCCGCGGCGCGGGTCGGCCGGCGGCAGAGCCCCGGGCGCAGGCGGCGGACCTCGGCCTCGGCGGCCTCGGCGCGCTCGCCGAGCTCGCCGGCGTGGCGCCTGGGCGGGGGGACGGACAGAAAGGCGACTGCGAAGGTGACGACCTACACCAGACCACCCCAGCCCCACCCGAAGACTCGTAGTTCGGGCTGGGGGGGGTCAGGGTTCCACCTGTGTGTTTGTCGATGTTTCCCGACACCCCCCCCACACTGGAGATCGGGGGGAAGTCTGAGCCTTCGGGTTGGGTTGGGGTGGTTTGGTGAGTGGTGGGAAGGCCTCGAGCTGCGGCAAACCACCCCAGGCTTCGGAAACGCCCCAGACCTTGCCAAAACCTCCCAGGCACTTACCAACACGTCGAGGAAAACTGACCGTTGCCCCCGCCCTCCCACTGGCCCGAAGGTCGGCGACTCCGAAGGGTGTGGTTTGCAAAGGGGGTGGTTTGCAATTGGCACCCTGAGGGGCACTTTGGGGGGCGGGCGAGGACCTCGACAGAGCTCTCCGCCGAGGACAGTATCGTGCTCCCCCCAGGCATCAACGGTGCCGATCGCAAACCACACCCCGGCGTAACCATACCCTTGCAGCCGCCGATGAAAGCAAGCTGCGCCCTGCGCCAGCGCTGGGCCGGCCAACATCCTCAGACGCCCTCGAGCCGTGAAAGAAACCGGGCTGGAAGGATTCTCAAGTTGTTCAGCCTCTGGGGGTTATTACCTGGGCCTCGGGGCCGTCAAAAAAATCCACTCCGAATGAAAAGCCAGTCCCGCGGAATGGGTCGAGACCTCTAAGAGTCGACGTCGTGACAATGGCATGATGTCGGGGACCTCGGTATCTGGCAAAGAGGCGGTCCTGGCTCGAGGCCCCCCCAGGGCTGGCAGGGAGGCCCCGGTGGTGCCGGGGAAGGCCGGGGAGGGCCCCGTGGAGGCCCCAAGACGGCCTCTTGAAGCTGGAGAGCCCACCGGGGCCCCGGTATCCCCCCCGTGATGGCTCGTATCTTTTAACCATCCTGCCGAACCAGTTCCGCAGCCTGGATGCAGCCCACAGGAGGCCGATGGGCGCAGTGGTGCAGCCGTCTTGAAGCGCTCGTTTGCTGCTGGAGTGGGCCTGGGCCCTCCAGCGGGCGAAGAGAACAGCCAAATGATACGGGAAGGGCCTGCTTGCGTATCCCCCCCCTGGAGCGGAAGGGAGGCCAAGGGGAGGGGAGGGGAGGACGGCAAGGGTGTGCACACGTAGAGGGCATGCATATAACATCACCACCTGCGACAGCGACGACGACGACGACGACGCCCTCCTGGCCGAGGCCTGGAGGGTCTATACGCCAGCGAGAACGGGGGATTGTGGAGTCGCAAGGGTTCAAAAGCGCGCGCGCGAGGTTTTCGCGCTGAGTTCGCGACTGCTTCTGTGCTAAATCTGTTCTGTGTCGTCCTCCTCCTCCTCGTCCTCCTCCTCCTCCTCCGCCTCCTCCTCCTCCTCCTCCTCCTCCCTCTCTGTTTTTTTTTCTCCTGGTGTCCCCCCCCCCAAAAAAAAACATTTGTTTAAAAACGGGGGGGTCGGCGGGGGAAAAAAGGAATGCGACGTGGCCACATCAGCCCTCCCCCCTAGAAGGATTCCTATTGAACGCCCCCACAAGAAGAGTTCACTGTGAAATCCTCGACAGAAGGGTTGCTATCGAAATCCTCCACTGCACGATTCCTACTGAAATCCTCCACACGTGGATTCCTACTGGAACCCTCCACTGAATGATTCCTACTGACATCCTCGAATGGCAATGGCAATGGCAACTGCAATGGTAATGGTAATGACAGTGGTAATGGTAATGGTACTGGCAATGGCAATGGTAACGGTAATGATCGTGGCAACGGGGTAGCGACTGGCAATGGCAATGACAATGACAATGGCATCGTTAATGGTAATGGTAATGGCAATGGCAATGACAATGGTAATGGCCATGGCAATGGTAATGGCCATGGCCATGGTAATGGTAATGGTAAGGGTAATGGTAATGGTAATGGGAGTGGGAATGGGAACGGGAATAGAAATGATAGTGGTAGTGGTAATGGTAATGGCACTGGTAATGGTAATGGTACTGGTAACGGCAATGGTAATGGCAATGGTGATGGGAATGAGAATGGGGATTGTAATGGTAATGGCAGCGGTAATGGTAATGGTAATGGTAATGGTAATGGTACTGGCAATGGTCATGGTAATGGTACTGGCAATGGTAATGGTAGTGGCTAATGGCAATGGCAATGGCAATGGCAATGGTAATGGTAATGGTAATGACAGTGGTAATGGTAATGGCACTGGTAAAATGGAAATGGCAACGGTAATGGTAATGGGGTAGCGATTGGCAGTGGCAATGACAATGACAATGGCAACCGTAATGGTAATGGCAATGGCAATGACGATGGGATTGGCAATGGCAATGGCAATGGCAATGGAAATTGCCATGGCAATGGCAACGGCAATGGTAATGGTATTGGGAATGGAAATGGGAATGTGAATGTGAATGGGAATGGGAGCGGGAACGGGAATGGAAATGGTAGTGGTAGTGGTAGCGGAGATGGGAATGATAAGGGTAAGGGTAAAGCTAAAGGTCGAGGGAAAGGTAATGGTAATGGTAATGGTAATGGTAATGGTAATGGTAATGGAAATGATAATGGTAACGGTATTGGGAATGGGAATGGGAATGGAAATGGTACTGGCAATGGTAATGGTAGTGGCGAATGGCAATGGCAATGGCAATGCGGATGGTAGCGGTCATGACAGATGTAATGGTAACGGTACTGGTAATGGTAATGGTAATGGTAACGGAGTAGCGACTGGCAATGGCAATGGCAATGACCATGGCAACGGTAATGGTAATGGCAATGGGATTGGCAATGGCAATGGCAATGGCAATGGCCATGGCCATGGCCATGGCACTGGCAATGGTAATGGTGATGGTAATGGTAATGGGAATGGGAACGGGAATGGGGATGTGACTGGGAATGGGAATGGGAACGGGAACGGAAACGGAAATGGTAGTGGTAGTGGTAGTGGTAACGGTAATGGGAATGGTAAGGGTAAGGGTCAAGCTAGCCAGCTCGAGCGAGTCAAGCATGGCATGCCCATTCCCGCCCGCCCTCCCACAACATAAGAAACAGTGATGGCACAACGGACAGGCTGGTGTCTTCCCCCTCGCCGTACCCCTAAACCCCCCAAATCCGTTCCGAAGGAAGCCTTCGGACTCCTCCCGGGTCCAAACGCACAACTTTTTCGAGTCGCGTCCAGCCGTGACTTAGAAGAGGACCCCGAGGGCCAGAAAGACTCGAACACCGATACTCGAGGCGCAAGTTCGAGCACCTCACTGAAACACTACCCTCGGTGCGCCGCCGACCATGACCTGTGGGCGGCGCCGGCGTCGTGCCGCCGCGACGGGCCCTCCCGGTTCGGGCTTCGAGGCTCCTCGGAAGCTCTCGCGGCCCTTGGGCCCGCATCCCCGACGATAAGATTTTCTCCGTGCTGGCGTTTTCCCGTCGACTTCGCACGTTTTTCCCTCGACTTCGCCCCCCATGGAACGGTTTTTGGCCCCCCGGACCAAGAAGAAAATAATATCCAGGACGCAAAACTGCTCCCGAGAAAGGGGTCGAGATCTCAGAAAGGCTTGGGACAAATTCGCCGGCCCAACGGGCCAGAGGCGTGCAAAGATCTCCAGTAACTAGTTAACAGTCTTCTAGTTCGCGCGCGCGGGGCGACCCCTGGGGCCCCCCGGACGAAAAGTACCCCGAGCAGGTCCCAGGCCAGCTCAACGGGCCAGAGGCGTGCTAAGATCTCCGGTAACTAGTTAACAATATTCTAGTTTGCCCGCGCGGGGCGGCCCCTGGGGGGCCCCGGACGAACAGAACCCCGAGCAGGTCATGGGCACGTCGGTCCCAGCGATGGTTTTCTTCTTCGGCGCTGACTTCCAGGTCCCAGAGCGCCCCAGGAACGACCCAAGAGAGCCGAGACGCCCCTGAGACGATCCGAGGGGCCCTGAGTCGCCGAAAGATCGCTCCAAGACGCCCAAGGCCTCCAGACGGCCGAAGACGCCGCCAAGAAACCGCGGGGAGCCTCAGGAGGCCCTCCAAGAGCCTGAACAAGCAAAAACCTCCCAGGCATTCGTCACCCCAGGGCATCCTGGAACGCCCCGGCGCCCAATGAATTGGCGAGCTAAAAACGTGCGCCGAGCCACAGCGGGAGCGCAACTTTGAGAAAATTTCGCTCGGCGACCAAGCGGGAAGGTAATTTCATTCACTTCGAGCGGGGGGGGAGGGGTGTGTGCCGCGCCCAATTGTTGCCATGCACTTTTGCAGGGTGGACGACAAGAACAGCTATGCGGGCAGGGAAAATCTGCATGGCATTGCTTCTGACAAGTAAGGTGGCCCCTCCCGCCTTGGGGTTGCCCCAGAAGTCCGCGCGCGATGTGCGCCGCGCCCCATTCCTGCCACGCATTTCGCATCGTCGACGACAAGGCAAGCCATGCTGAGAGGAAAAAACGGAGACTTTGTATTGTTTTTTTTGCAGTCAGGATGGGAGGGCCCGCAGCCCGCATGGACGTCCGCGCGCGATGTGCGCCGCGTCCCATTCCTGCCACATATTTCGCACCGTCGGCGACAAGGCAAGCCATGCTGAGAGGAAAAAACGGAGACGTTGTATCGATTTTTTACAGTCAGGATGGGCGGGCCCGGATTGACGGCCGCGCGCGATGTGCGCCGCGTCCCATATGTGTGCCGCGTCCCACTGCTGCCACATATTTGGCACCGTCGGCGACAAGGCAGGCCATGCAGAGAGGAAAAAACAGAGACTTCGTATTGATTTGTCGCGCGCGATGCGCGCCGCGTCCCATTCCTGCCACGCTTTTCGCATCGTCGACGACAAGAAGGACGATGTTGAAAAGAAAAACGGCCACTTTGCATTGATTTTTTACAGTCCGGATGGGAGGTCCCGGATCAGGTTGCTATCGGCCTGAATACGAGGTAGGTGGGGGTATATAATAATAAGGAACAAGGAGAAAAAGTAGAGGTAAAGGTAATGGTAATGGTAATGGTAATGGTAATGGCAATGGCAGTGGTAATGGTAATGGTAATGGTAATGGTAATGGTAATGGTAATGGTAATGGTAATGGTATTGGGAATGGGAATGGGAATGGAAATGGTACTGGCAATGGTAATGGCAGTGGCGAATGGCAATGGCAATGGCAATGGTAATGGTAATGGTAATGGTAATGGTAATGGTAATGACAATGGTAATGGTAATGGTACTGGTAATGGTAATGGTGACGGAAACGGTAATGGTAATGGCAATGGCAACGGTAACGGGGTAGCGACTGGCAATGGCAATGACAATGGCGATGGCAACGGTAACGGTAACGGTAATGGCAATGGCAATGGGAATGGCACCGGCAATGGCAATGGCAATGGCAATGGCCATGCCAATGGTAATGGTAATGGTCATGGTCATGGTCATGGTCATGGTAATGGTAATGGTAATGGGAATTGGAATGGGAATGGGAATCGTAATGGTAATTAGAACGGGAGCGGGAATGGAAATGGTAGTGGTAGTGGTAATGGTAATGGCAATGGTAATGGTAATGGTACTGGTAACGGTAATGGTAATGGCAATGGTGATGGGAATGGGAATTGTAATGGTAATGGCAGCGGTAATGGTAATGGTAATGGTAATGGTAATGGTAATGGTAATGGTAATGATAATGGTAATGGTAATGGTAATGGTAATGGTAATGGTACTGGGAATGGTAATGGTAATGGTAATGGCAATGGCAATGGCAATGGCAATGGGAATGGCAATGGCAATGACAATGGCAATGACAATGGCAATTGTAATGGACATGGTTTTGGTACTGGTACTGGTAATGGTAAGGATAAAGGTAAAGGTAAAGAGAAAGGCAAAGGTAATGGTAATGGTAATGGTAATGGCAATGGCAATGGTATTGGTAATATTGATGGTAATGGTAATGGTATTGGGAATGGCAATGGGAATGGCAATGGCAATGACACTGGCAATTGTAATGGCCATGGTAGTGGTAATGGTAATGGTAATGGTAAAGGTAATGGTATTGGGAATGGGAATGGGAATGGACTGGTAATGGCAATTGTACTGGTACTGGCAATGGCACTGGCAGTGGCAATGGGAGTGCGAATGGGAATGGTAATGTTAAAGGTAATTGTAATGGTAGTGGTACTGGTAGTTGTAGTGGTAGTGGCAATGGCAATGGTAATGGTAATCGTAATGGGATTGGTAATGGTAATGGTAAGGGTAATGATGAGGAGCAACGTGAAAGATAGTAAAAACTCGTCTGGAACCCACAGCGACTCCACAATCCCCCGGCCTCACGCCAACAGGGGGACCAGGCTGGCCCTGGCCACGCCTGGTGGTGGCGTATCCTTAGGTGCCCCCCTGCGTAGGACAGACGGCGGGGGAGGACAGCAAGGCGCGCGCATGCGAGCGTGAGCACTCCAGCGCGCAGGAATCCGAGCACGTCCGCGATCAAGCGGGCAGGCAAGCGTGGCCCGCGCGCGAGCGAACGGGCAAGCAAGCGTGCGAGCGCGCACGTGCATGCGAGCCTGCGCCTGCGCGATCGAGTCTTCTCGGCCCCGGGCCTGAGCTCCTTGATGGTGACGTCCCTCTCTCTCACCGCGGCGGCGTGGCAGCACCGCGCGGGCTCGCAGTACCGCATGCCGGGCCGCGGCGCACGGCGGGCCCTAGCCATGAGCGCGTGGGCGCCCGAACCAAACGCCTGCAGAACACGGCGAAGATGGCGGATGGAACGGCAAGGATGCTGGGCGGCGCGCAGAGGCGGGGGAGTGGGAGGGGGGGAAGGCTTCTTGCAAGCAGGCAGCGTCTTAGAAGGCGCCGGCCTTGCATCTGCAGACAAGGCCCGCGCCCGCTAAGAAGCAGGGGTGCTTCCAAGAAGCCCTCCCCCCTTCCCCCCCCCCCTCTGCGCGTGGCTGAGATACGTCAGAGGGGCGTGTATACATACATATATATATATATACTAGAACCATCGCGCGCTTCGCGCGCGCTCAAGTTCTAGCTAGCTTCTTGGGGCCTCCTCGGAGCATCCTGGACTGCTTCTTGAAGTCGTCATGGGACCTTCTTGGCATGTCTTCGGGGGCCTCTAAGAAAGAGTTTTGAAGCCTTTTGGGTGCCGTCTTGGGGCCTCTTGGAGCCTCTTTTGGGCTTCTAGGGGGCCTCTTGGGGCCTCTTGGGGGCCTCTTGGGGCCTCTTGGGGGCCTCTTGGGGCCTCTTGGGGGCTTCCTGGGGGCATCTTGGGGCCTCTTGGGGGCATCTTGGGGCGGAGAGTTTGAGTTTTCAGTTCGCGTTCCCTCTCTTGGGCCCCTCTTGGGGCCTTCTTGGGACCCTCTTGCGCCGTCTTGGGCGGTTCTGGGGCCGTCTCGGGGCTCTCTCGGGCCGTCTTGGGCCCTCTTGGGGGCCTCTTGGGCCGTCTTGGAGCGGTTTGGGGGGCCTCTTGGGCGGTGCTTTAGCGCCAGGAACACGAAACAGCGAGAGTGCAAAAAAACATTGAAAAAACAATGAAAATCAACGATTTTGCCCCTCTCGGGGCGCTCTTCGGCGGCATCTTAAAGGCCTCTTGGGGCGTCTTGGGGGCCTCCGGTGCAATTTAAACGCATCGTGCGTCGACGGAGACCCCTGGACGTCGTCTTGGGGGTGTCTCGAGACCGCCTGGGGCCGCCGAGATTGCTGTCTGAGGGCTCCCCGAGGCGATTTTACGCCTCCCAAAGGCGGGCCCGGCCCCCCGGAGCCCACATTTGTGGTCGAGGTCCCGGCCCCGGGCCCCCGGACCCGGTGCGCCGTTATATGTATATAACAGAAAAGAGGATAAAACGCCTAGCGCAAAAAGATCGAACTGCACACGAACAACCCACCTCTCCATGTGCGCCCGGTGCCTGCCGCGTATGCTCCACTTCGGTCTTGAGCACCTGGCGCCCGCAGCGCTGGAGGCCCCCCAGGTGGTGTCCGAGCAGGCGGGGCCGGAGAGCCGCGCCCCATCGCCGATTGCGCTCGGCGCCACGGGCGTGGAGAGAAACTCGGGCTCAACATCGGGCCCCGATGCATCGACGATGCAGCACGTTCGACTCCGGCCGCATCTTCTCTGACCCCATCGTGCTGGCCCCTGCGAATCGACGCTCGTCGACGCCGCGCTCATCGACGCCAAGTCGACGCCAGATCGACGCTGAACTGGCGCTTTTCCCCATCGACTACCAGCGCCCGCAGGCGCATTCTAAAGACGGAGTTGCGAGGGTATACGAGGCTTACATGCTTTGCGATCGAAGAACCCCATCTGGGAGACCTGGAGGAGGCCTACGGTGTGGAGCTCTTGGACAGCATGTGGCAGCGGCGGCCCCGCCGACACGAGACGCCCTGCGAGTGGATAGCGGCCCACTCCGCTCCGCGGGGCGGGAGGCTGGGAAAGGCTCGAGACGTTGAAGCCTGGGGACTGGAATTAGGTCGGGCATGCCCTCCTACAGGCGGATCCTGGAAGAGACATGAAACAGAGTCAAACAGTACTCCAACATAGCCGAAAGTAATCACAAATCGCCCCCAGGCTAGAAATTTGATGGTTTTTTTTGAATAGTCCTCCTGTAGAGGGACATGCCCGACTGAAGACTGGAGAGTGGATAGCGCCTCGCGCTGAGGCGGTGGTGGGGCCGGCACCGGCGTCCCGACACGCTGATCATCCCGCGGACCCCGACCGCAGAGAACGCCTGGGTCGGACCCCGAGACCACTTGGGCGACTTCGGAACCCCTGGGCCCAAGCACGCTTCCATCTCTGGGGGCGCGGCTGTTTACTTCCGCCGCCTTCCGCCGCCCCTCCGCCGGCTTCCGCCGGCGGAGGCGGCCTCGCCTTACTTCCGCCGACCTCCCACCGCCCTTCCGCCGCGGGAGAGACGACAACGCCGTCGATCCTCGGAGGCGAGGCCCTTTCCGGAACGCCGCTCGTTCGAATAGCGCATTAATGCGACTGGAGCCCTGGACCGCATCCTTCTGCACCGCTCCTCGATGTTGGATCGATCTGCGACGCCCCTGAATCCCGACAAAAAAAAGGTTGGAACCACGCCCGCGGGAAAGAGAAGTGCAAGGCACTGACCTCAGGGGAGAGGTTGAGGTACAGCAGGGGCCCGACCACGAGAAAAACCTTCCACGAGAAACCCCACCCTGAGACCCCAGGACGTCCATTGACAGTCTTGGTGCGGGAGCGTCACGCTCTCCACAGCAAAACCATCGACACCCAAGAGAAACCCAGGGCACCCTGGAGGCAAGCAGGGTGTGTGTTGGCATGGGCCTCCACAGGTAGGAGGTCCGCGCGGACTTCTCGGATCTGCACCGGACCCCCTTCCCTGGCGCGCGGAGCGCGCCGGGAGCGGCGCCCGAGGCGCCGCCAGGAGAGCCCAGCGCCAATCCAAGGAATCTGCGCGGAGCTCCGAAACTCTCCGCTTGTGGCGTGTTTCGTGCTTCGAGCCGAACTTCTGGGCCAGAGGTATGGCGAAGAGAACTGTGCACATGCACCGATCCTGGAAAGGCCCATCCTGGACCCAGGATCGGTGCACATATGCCTTCCTGGCCACTGCAGGAGGGCGTATGCACCGATCCTGGGCTCAGGATGGGCCTGGCCTGGCGAGGAGGAGGAGGAAGAGGAGGAGGAGGAGGAGGAGGAGGAGGAGGAGGAGGAGAGAGGAGGAGGAGGGCGAGGAGGGGGGGTGGGGCGGCAGCTGCATGCGAAGGTCCTTGTCGGCCTCGGCCTGCTCCTGCCCGCCGGCGCCCGGCGGCGGCGCAGGAGCCGCGAGGCGCATGCCGCAGGCAGCCGCGACGGCCTGGCCGCACGCGCGGCCATCTTTCCATCTTTCCTCCTCCTCCTCCTCCTCCTCCTCCTCCTCCTACTCCTCCTCCTCCACGCACGCATGAGGCCGCTCCATCCTTCCAAGGGCCCCCAGCTTCGCGCTTCGCGCTGCGCGAAGCGCGAAGTGCGAATAACTCCGCCCTCTCGCGCCGCCTCCCAGGGGAGAAGAGGAGAACGATGAGGAGTCGGAGTCGGAGCACGAGGCCCCTCCATCTCTCAACGATATGAAGCAACATTGGGGGCGGCCAAGAGGGGGGCGTCCAAGAAGAACTGCGCAAATCATGGCCGGCGGCATGTGCGAGGGGAAGGGGGGGCAGGGACGCATTTCAATAAGACGAGGCGCCATGAAATCTGGTGAGCTATCATAGCTCCCGCTATGATATCCACCCCCCCCCTAGTCATCACCCCCCTCTGTGCCGCCCCCGACAATCACGACAGAAGGTTTGGCTGGGCCGTCAAAAAAAAGGCCATGGGGATGAAAAACCGGTCACGGGGAATGGGCCGAAGCTTCTGCGGGGTCGGCGGCTGCAAAACAGATCATGGCATCGGGACTCTGGGCCGATGATGGTGATGATAATGATGATGGTGATGATGGTGATGATGATGGTGATGGTGATGGTGATGATGATGATGATGATGCTGATGCTGATGATGATGATGATGATGATGATGATGATGATGAGTGTGATGATGATGGCGATGGCGATGGCGATGATGATGATGATGATGATGATGATGATGATGATGATGAGGATGATGATGATGATGGCGATGGTGATGGTGATGGTGATGATGATGATGATGATCATAATGATGATGATGATGATGGCGATGGTGATTATGATGCTGATGCTGACAGTGATGATGATGCTGATGCTGCCGATGGTGATGATGATGATGCTGATGCTGCCGATGCTGATGATGATGAGAAAGAGGATAAGGATGAGAATGAGGCGGCGAACCCGGGCCCGGCCACCGAATCGGCGGCGAACCCGGGCACCCGGGCACCCGGGCACCCAGGCACCCGGGCCTGGCCACCGAATCGGCGGCGAACCAGGGCACCCGGGTACCCGGGCACCCGGGCACCCGGGCCCGGCCACCGAATCGGCGGCCCACCTCACCTACCCTTCAATCCGCTAGGACCCCTACAGAGGCAAGCTCTGATTGGAGAATATTTGAAAGTCGTGCCCCGACGATTTTTTAACTAGAACCACACGCGCGCGCTTCGCACGCGCTTAGGTATTAGTCGATTTCGAAGATGGCGTCTATTTCCATGAGACCTTTGCCATGTGGTCTTCTGGGTGCCTCCCTTTCACCCATGCGTGATTATCGGGCGGATACGGCGAACTTCGAGGAAGGGTTTGGCCTGTAGCGTACCAGCGACGACCGACGACGACGACAACGACGGACCACCGACGATCAGCATCATTGTCACCTGGTCCACGTGTGCGGAAAAGGCGTTTCCGGAGCGTCTTGCAGGCGTCATGGGGGCGTCCTGGGGCCTCGACATTGGCTGCGGGTCGGGGGGTGCAGCCAGGGCCACGTGTTACGAGGGGTTGTTCCGGAGCGTGTAGGACGAAGGGCTTCTGGCGGGCTTCTGAGGGTTTGTGTAGGAGGCCTCCTGCGAGCTCGGTGGGGTTTTTTCGGGAGTTTCTCGGGTCTTTCTGGAGCCCTTTTTGGGGCTTCTTGGGGCGCCGTGGAGGCCTCCTGGGAGTCTCTTGGGGCCTCCTGGGTGCCTCTTGGGGCAGAGGGCGCCTCTGTTCGGGCATTTGGAGGGCTCTCTGGAGTCACCTGGGAATATCTTGGGCCAGCTTGGGAGCCTCTGGAGGGGTCCGGGGCCCCGTCTGAACCTTCTTGGAACCCTCAAGGCCCCCCCGCCCCCTCATGCGAACCAAAGGTCTCGGTTCTGGGCCCATCCCGCCACCGTGTCTGGGTTGTGGGTTAGAGGCGTTTCGGATGTTCGCTGGGATGATATCGTGGGATGCCTCTCGGGGGGCCTTTTGGAAGCAGGTTTGAAGCCTCCACGGGGGCGTTGTGGAGCTTGTCGGACCTCTCTCAGGCATCTTTGAGGCCTGTGTAGTACCGTCTCCCATGTCTTTTGGCTCAGGGATAGGTAGCGGACACCCCCATGCCAGCACGAGTCGAGTCGAGCCGACGGGGAAGAGGAGGTGGAGGAAGAGGAGGAGGAGAGGATTGGAAGATCTATTCTGGCGCCCCAGTGGGTTCTTGGCATCCCTGGGGTGTTCGAGAGGGTTGCAACCGGCACTTAGGGGCCTCTTGGGGCCTCCTGGGGGCCTCTGGGGGCGGGAAGCTCGAAAGGTCGGTTCGCGCTCTCTCTCTTGGGCCCATCTCCGAGCCGTCTTCAGGCCCTCTTCAGGTCCACTTGGGGGTCTCCCGGGCCGATCATGCGGCCCTCTTGGGCCGTCTTGGGGGCCTCTTGGGGCGAGTTTGGAGGCTTCTTGGGCAGTCTTGGAGTGTCGGCCGCTCGAAAACGTGAGAAAGCAACAATTAGCCTGGCGAAGGACCCAACCATATGAAGTTGTGAGTACCGCAATTGTGAATACCATCTTCGCCCGCGCTCCCTATGTGGCCACGGCTTCCCGCCGGAGCCCGACATGCTCAGGGACACGTTCGTGGCCGTCTTCGCGGGCGCCGGCGACGACAAGGACGGCGTCCCTCTCACCGAGGAGCAGAAGCAGGAGAGGGCCTTGAGAGCCATGAGGGAGGACGTGGCGTTGCACGTCGACCAGGCGGAGTACGACGCCCAGGCGCGGTTGTTGAACCAGCACAACTATGGGGCCACGATCCTCGTGAGGGATGTGCCGCAGTGGCCCGGGGCCGCCATGCGAACCCTGCCACTGGCGCCTTCGGTGGAGCTCCCGATGGGGCCACGATCCTCGTGAGGGGTGTGCCGAAATGGCCCGAGGCCGCCATGCGAACCCTGCCACTGGCGCCTTCGGTGGAGCTCCCTATGGGGCCACGATCCTCGTGAGGGGTGTGCCGAAATGGCCCGAGGCCGCCATGCGAACCCTGCCACTGGGGCCTTCGGTGGAGCTCCCTATGGGGCCACGATCCTCGTGAGGGGTGTGCCGAAATGGCCCGAGGCCGCCATGCGAACTCCTTCGGTGGAGCTCCTATGGGGCCACGATCCTCGTGAGGGGTGTGCCGACAATGCGAACCCGAGCCTTCGCTCGTATGGGGCCACGATGTGAGGGGTGAAATGGCCCGAGGCCGCCATGAACCTGGCGCCTTCGGTGGAGGCCACGATCCTCGTGAGGGGTGTGCCGAAATGGCCCGAGGCCGCCATGCGAACGCTGCCAATTGGGCCTTCGGTGAGCTCCCTATGGGGCCACGATCCTCGTGAGGGGTGTGCCGAAATGGCCCGAGGCCGCCATGCGAACGCAGCCACTGGAGCCTTCGGTGGAGCTCCCTATGGGGCCACGAAATGCTGTACTGGGTGTGCCGAAATGGCCCGAGGCCGCCATGCGAACGCAGCCACTGGAGCCTTCGGTGGAGCTCCCTATGGGGCCACGATCCTCGTGAGGGGTGTGCCGAAATGGCCCGAGGCCGCCATGCGAACGCTGCCACTGGCGCCTTCGGTGGAGCTCCCTATGGGGCCACGATCCTCGTGAGGGTGTGCCGAAATGGCCCGAGGCCGCCATGCGAACCTGCCACTGGCGCCTTCGGTGGAGCTCCCTATGGGGCCACGATCCTCGTGAGGGGTGTGCCGAAATGGCCCGAGGCCACCATGCGAACGCAGCCACTGGAGCCTTCGGTGGAGCTCCCTATGGGGTACTGGGTGTGCCGAAATGGCCCGAGGCCGCCATGCGAACGCAGCCACTGGAGCCTTCGGTGGAGCTCCCTATGGGGCCACGATCCTCGTGAGGGGTGTGCCGAAATGGCCCGAGGCCACCATGCGAGAGCAGCCACTGGAGCCTTCGGTGGAGCTCCCTATGGGGCCACGAAACGTTGTACTGGGTTGGTGAAACGCAGGGGGGAGAGGGGAGGAGGGGGAGGAGGAGAGGAGAGGAGAGGAGGGACGCGGGGCACCGTCTCTTCAAAACGAGGATCCAACACCACAGGATGGTTGGGAACTATTGGAAAACAACATGAAAATCAATGGTTTGGGCGTGTTGGGGCTCTCTTGGAGGTGCTCGCGCAGCGACCTTGGGGCCTCTTAGGGGCCTCTTGGGCCGATCATGGGGCCATCTTGGGCGGCTTGGAGCGCTCTTGTGCCGTCTTGGCGGCTTCTTGCCGTCTCCAGAAGCCTAGGTGGACGCCTCGGGGAAGCGGAAAAGCTTCCGCGACTCCGAAAACGGGCCCCTGGATGTCAAAAATTGCCCCCGCAGCCCAGGGGGCAAATTCGGTTACGGGGGGGGGGGGATTTGGGGAAACTGTGCGACCCTGGGCCGCTCAGCCCCGGACGCCGCATATATATATATATTATATATATATATATAATATATATGTATGTATATATTATATATATATATATATTATATATATGTGTATATATAGACGTAGATATATACATATACATATACAGATATATGTATGTATGTATAGATATACGTGTACAAAAACATACATCACTATGTACATATCTCTACATATATGTGATATGTATATATAATATAATTGGATATCCTTCCTATCCTTCCTGGAGAGGGACACGCCCGACTTCATGACTGCAGCACCAGGTGCAGGCAGCCGAGCCGCCCCTCCTCTGGCCCGCCGTGCGGCCCCCCCTTCCCGCACGCGGAGGCACCTCAGGAGCCCGCGGCTCCGAGAGGGCACCTGGGGGCCTGGCCGCGCCCGGCCACGCTCCCACTGGACCCCAAAGCCAATCGACGCCGTCGTCGTCGTCGTCGTCGTCGTCGTCGTCGTCGTCGTCGTCGTCGGCCCCCCTGCGGCCCCCGCCAGCGGGGAGGCCTTGGAGGGAGTCCCGGGCGAGATGTCCCGCGGTGTCGATCCCGAGACGGCCCTCCCGCGCCAGGGTTCCCACCGACGCCAATCGACGCCAATCGATGCGAGTCGACGCAAATCGAGGCTCGTCGACGCCGTATGGGCGCTGGCTCACCGACTGACGGAGGCTATAGCGCACGCTAATCGCACTCCTGCGATGGAGTTACGAGGGCAGACGAAGCTCCAGCGATCTGCTTCCGAACCCCAGGGAGGCACTGGCCGCCAGTGCTGAACCAAATCGACGCGGTAAAGCAAGACCGTCACGGCCAGACATGCTCTAACAAGGGCTCCCAACGTCGGGACATCATGAACATGACGAGACCCAATATTGAGTTTGACGCGAGCTCCCGCTGGCAAGCATCCCACGAAAACTGGGCCGCCAAAACCGACGCGCTCGACAAAAAGCGTCGGCAAACCCTGGTAATGGCGCAACTGACTACTCCAGCCTCACGCTTCCGCGAAGGAAGGGGGCAGGGCAGACGAGGGCGAGGAGGAGGAGGAGGAGGAGGAGGAGGAGGAGGAGGAGGAGGAGGACGAGGAGGAGGAGGAGGAGAACAGAACAGAACAGATCGACTCTCGTGCGCCTGTGCCGATGTCTATCAGCATCTACTCGAAATAGTTGGCACCTGACGACGCGAAACCTCGCGAGGAGGAGGAGGAGGAGGAGGAGGAGGACGACGCGAAACCTCGCGAGGAGGAGGAGGAGGAGGAGGAGGAGAAGGACGGCGACGCGAAACCTCGCGAGGAGGAGGAGGAGGAGGAGGAGGAGGAGGAGGAGGACGACGACGACGACGACCCAGGGCGCACCACGGGCGGCCGCCCCAGGGCCGGACGCCCCCCCGGCCGCCCCGCGCCCCGCGCGCCTCCGCGGGGGCGCCGTGCACCTTCTGCAGCAGGGCCCGGGCGTCGCCGGAGCTGCGGGCGCGGCGGCGGGCGGCCCCCCGGGCGCAGTCTTTGACGAACGAACGACACACACACACACACACACCCATACCCATAGGGGGGTCGTTGGGAGGAGGGCTGGCTATGGGTATGGGTGCGGGGAACGCTCCCATTCGAGCGGGGCCCCCCATCCGACAGCACGCACCCATAGCCCCATGGCCCTCCCCGACCCCCTTTCTGGGTATGGGTGTGGGTTGTTGGTTCGTCAGTCTCGGGACCCAGGCCCCCTCGAGGTACGAATCTGCCGCCCCCCCCCTCTGGCCCAGAAGTTCGACTCGGACATGACACGTCATGAACGTGGAGTTTCGGAACTCCGCGCGGATTCCTTGGATCGGCGCTGGGCTCCCCTGGCGGCGCCTCGGGCGCCGCTCCTGGCGCGCTCCGCGCGCCAGGGAAAGAAGTCCAGCGCAGATCCAAGAAGTCCGCGCGGACCTCCTATAGGGGCCCACATGTGAACCCTACCCCTACCCACCCCGAATTCAGAGGGGGAGTGTGGGGTTCACATGTGGCCCCCAAGACCTACTCGAGGCATGAAAAAATGACGATGGAAGGTTTTTCGCGATGTCTGGCCGCTCTGGCCCCCCACTGGGCCCCGGGACCGTCCAGAAGCGACTCGGGAGGCAGAGCCGGTCCGATGGAGGGAGTGGTCGAGACCTCTGGGGGCCGACGTCGTGCAAAAAAAACGTTGCCTCGGGGGTCTGGAGAGGGCGCACTGCTGTAGCCTCGGGCACGTGTACTCGCGTGGGCTTCACCCCCCGCCACTGGGCCGAGTCCCGGCTTGCGCGAGGCCCCGACTCCTTCTCGGGCCTCGCCCCCCCCCCCCCCCACCCCACCCCCACCCGTTGGCGCCTCCCACAGGCATGCAGGCAGACGTGCCAGAGGTGGACGGAAAACGACCGTCGTCGTCGCCAGCGACACCGTGGCTGCTCGGAACTCGAGGGTCGACGTCCCTGAGCGTGCGTTCGGCGCCCTCTCTCTCTCTCTCTCTCGCTCTCTCTCTCTGGGCCGGCGGAGGCCTCCGTAGCTGTCGCCGCCGCCGTCGTCGCCGCAGTCGTCGTCGACGTCCTCTGCCGCCTCCTCACCCCCTGCAACTGCCCAAAGTCTCATGGCGTCTCTGGACGACCCTGGAAGCCTCCAGAGGTACGAGGAGAGCAAACATGCTCAAAACTTCGAACCTCGACCACCGAATCTGAACCCTTGACCGCTGATTGACACCGACTGGTCTACACGCAAAAACGGTCCCTAGCAAGAGTGGCTTTTGGTGCGCGGCTTGCTGATCGTTGCGTACGAGGCAACACCCGCCCTCCCCCCCAAGCGGCGCATCAAAGGCACTGCACGCAAGCATCGAGCAATCCATTTGCTCCCAGGAACAACAGTACACCCCCGAAGCAGCCCCCCAATTGCATGGCAATGAACTGCAGCTGACGGGCTGCGTTGCACTGCTGCACTGGCCGGTTGCGGCGTGACCGACCAGATCCGACTTGACCGCCTCGAGAGCCTGCACGCAGGGGAATTGGGATGTTCAACGCATCCTGCCCCTCAGCCCCATCGGGGCCGTTGCCGAGAGAATTGCAACGTAGGCGAGCACGCAATGTCATCGGGCCCAAGTCAGAAAATTCAAAGACCCTTCGGAGCGGGGATGATGTAGCGGTAGACGAGGGCCTTCCCCAGACATGCGATGTCCTCTTGTTGTCACTACGAAGCACCTGGGAGTCCCACCTCTTTCGCCACAGGGCCCGTTTTTCATCACGAGTCGTTGTTTGATGGTCCCGGGGCCTGGCGAGGGCCCCTGGAGGCTGAAGCCAACCAAAAGCCTCCTGTCGCACTTTTGTTGCGGCACCGCCGTGTCTGGGTACGGAACCCGCAGACCGCGCTTCGGGCAGCAGCAGGAGCGGTGACTGCGCAGGCGTCGCGCAGTGTTCCCTCGTTGTCTCCCCCCCAGGGATGGAGTAAAGGATCGACTACAAGACTGTATTACCAAGCTCGTCGAGTCTACAAATCAATACGTCGGAAGTTCATTGATCCACAAACATCAAGCGTATTGTCCGTAGGTTCCACGACAAATCTCAATCCTCGGGTAAGCCAATTATGTAGTCGATCTCGTACTCGAAGGGAGTGGCTGGCCGCCTGTCCAGCGCCCTCAAGTTGTTGCTCAGCGACATCTCGAGCAGGCCGCCCTCCTGCCGGCCGCGCACACGGGCACTCCCCCCCGCGGCCAAGGCAGCCGGCTCGAGGTGGGCGACGTCACGCACGGGGCGGCGCTTGACATGTGAGCGACGATCCAACACGGGCCTTGCAGTCGACCCATGCCATCAGGATGCATGGTGAGGATGCAGGGCCCTCGCAAGGCCGTTCTGGAGCTTTCCGAGCGGGGCGCGGCCAACGAGAGTGGCCAAGGATGGACCGAGGAGGCAAGGACGCAAGGGTGCCCTCGGGACAGTTGGCCATCCTTGCCCTGCGGGTTGAACGTGCGCGAGGTGGCATGCCGACCTTCGGCGGTGGCTTGCGCGGGGCGCCCGCGCCGAACGCCACAGCGGCGACGAGGGCGCCCACACGCGCGACCTCACGCCGGCAGCTTGCGCGCGAATGTCGGCGAGGACGACCCCGGTTTCTCCCCGTCGCTCACGCGAGCGCGGTCATAGAAAGGTCTCGGCGTCGGCGCTGTGCGCGCAGGGGCGGGCAGGTTAGGAACGCGAGGGTTTGGGCCCGTTCTGGGGGCTCCAGATCTGGCGGACAACGGCGCGATCCCCCGAGACGTCCGCCGCGGTATCTCCGAATAGACGTTCACCCAACGACATTCCGTCCCGCGCCTATGTGCAGATGCGCGCTTATAGCTATATATATATATATATATATATATATATATGTGCGTATGTAATTGTATACATATATATATGTATATGTATGGGTATATATAGGTGTACACATATGTGCATGTACAACTATGTGTATGCATATATGTATGTATCGATACCGATACCGATACATATATAGCTGCATGCGTATGTTTACTTATTGGCGTGTATGCATATAGCCCTATGTCTGCATATATGCATACCTGTTTACATACATACATACATACATACATACATACATACATACATACATACGTACGTACGTACGTACGTACGTACATGCATGCATGCATGCATGCATGCATGCATGCATGCATGCATGCATGCATACACACATACATACATACATGCATGCACACATGCATACATGCATACATGCATACATGCATACATACATACATGCATTCATGCATGCATACATACAGACAAACACACGTTCAGACATAAATACACACATCGGCGGCAAGCCCAGACGGGGGGGGAAAGATGGGGCAGGCCTTCTCAGCCAGCGGTCTGGCTTCCCAAAAACCTCCGGGCCTTCGGAGGAGCAGCCTCTGTCTTCGGAGAGCGTCTGCGAAGCACCGCCGCCTTCTGCGAAGGCCTAATCCATCGGGGTCGGCACAGCTGATGCAACAGGGGCGATGGAACAAGAGGGCAAGGCAGGTTACCACTGTTTTCTGCGGTGGTGTCGCCGCTGCTGCCGCCTTGGCCGCTGCACGGTTGCGCATCGGCGCAGGGGCAAGGTCTCTGCCCTCCTTCCCCCCTGGGCTCGCCGCCGAACATATGCGCGGGCATCAGCGCTCGACGTCGGTGCTGTTCGCCATGGCGACGGCTGGAGCACACGCCCTCCCGGGGCCCCAACCCGAATCTAGCAAAAATCGGCGGGTTCCCCCGTAACGCCGACCGCAACACTTCAACCTGATCTTGATCGACCGAAGCCCGTGCCGCCATTGTTGATAATGTGCATGTACACATCTATATATGTGTATATATAAGAGACAGAACGATGTGCGCGCATACTTGTTATACGTGTGTATTGGTAGATATGCATATACATGCGCTTGTGTCCTTTCGGTGGCTTTTCTAGAAATCCGAAGTACAAGGATGGACATCTCACGGACGGCAGTGTCTACTTCCGGTGGCCTCCGCCCGCATTGCGGGCATCCCTCTGAACCCGCCAGCCTTCCGCCGCCTCCTGCGATGATGAATTATTCGGGCGATATCGGGCTTGCTCCGACAGTTGAAACATCAATGCGGCCGGCGTTTTGTCCGGGCGTTGAAATATTCGTATATGCTAGCCAGCGCGGACCCAAAACAGTGTATACATACATACATACATACATACGTACGTACGTACATACACATATATATACATGGTGCGCATTTATGTAATGGAGTCTTTGCTGCGCGCGAGCTGTGTTGACAATCTATGTTGTGAACGATATGTTGTGAAATCTATGTAGTCCGATATGGGTTGTGCAAACTATGTGGGAACATTTAGGTGGTGCAATCTATGCGGTGCTATCTACATGGTGCAAACTATGTGGTGCAATTCACTTGCCGAACTTGAAGTGGTCGACTCCACTGCTCGCGCAATCATCCCACCCACCCACCCGCAACTTGGTTTGCAAAACCCATGCGAGAACAATTGCGATGAGTGCTGGGTGTTGGCTGGTACATCTTTGCGGCCGCGCGAGCCCGCAACGACTGCGACGACACCGACGACGTCTCCAACGACTTCGACGACGCCGACAACGACGACGACGACGACGACACCGACGACGACGACAACGCCGACGCCGACGACGACGACGACGATGACAACGACGACGACGGTGACGACGCCGACGACGACGACAACGACGACACCGACGACGACGACGACGTCAACGACGCCGACGACGACGACGACGACGACGACGACGGCGGCGACGACGCCGACGTCGACGACGACGAAGACGACGACGCCGACGCCGACGACGACGACGAAAACGGCGACGACGTCGCCAACGAAGACGACGACGAGGGAGGAGGGAGGACGACGACGGCGACAACGACGACGACGACGACAACGACGAGGCCGGAGGGAGGACGGCGACGACGCGAACGACGAAGAAGGAGGAAGGACGGCGACGCCGACGACAACAACGACGAGGGAGGAGGGAAGACGACGACGACGACAACGACTACGACGACGACGAGACGCCGACGACGCACGACGACGACCGCGACGAGGGAGGAGGAGGAAGGACGACCACGGCGACAACGACGACGGAAACGACCACGACGCCAAAGAGGACGACGACGACGAAGACGAGGAAAGACAGAGGATGACGTAGGCGACGACGACGACGACGACGCGGGAGGAGGGAGGACGGCGACGACGACGACGACGACGCAAGAGCGTGCGCGCACGCTTTTGTTGAAGATCCATGTTGCGAAACCTTGTGTTGTTGTAGGTTTTTTTTTGGACACACGATTTTGAAATCCGTCCGAAACCGTTGGGGTTTGAAGGATTTCGGCATACGCGCGCGACGACGCGCGCGTCTGCACTTCGTCCCATTTGTTACAAAGGATTCTCGCGACGGCACACGCGCAAGGGCGTTCGACAGATTTCGACATGCGCGCGCGAAGCCCGTTTGGTAGCATGTTGTGAATATATATTTTTCTTTAATAAAAACTATGGCTTGTTTTAAAGATTTCGCAAGAGCTCGCGCGTAAGCTTTTTTAGCAAATCGGTGTTGCGAAACCCTGTGTTTGTTGTATGTTGTTTTGATAAACGATTGCGGAATCCTTCCGTCACCGAGGGTTGTTTGAAGGATTTCGGCATGCGCGCGCAACGACGCGCGCGTGTGCACTTCGTCCCATTTTTTGGCAAGGGATTTGCGACAGAAGTGTTATGTTAGAACAACAAATGTCACCGCATTGTGCTTTTCACAAGGGAACATCAGGGGGGTAACCCGCTTGGCCTGGGACATTGTGACTTCATATTTAGGATGGACATGTGGTCAGAATCGTATGTGAATTACATCGGACGCGGGGGGTAATAATAACGCTGGGGGGGGGGGTAGAGTCTAGTCTGTTTTTAGAAACGGAGAATTTACATGGGGCAATACATAAATATACACATTTATATGTATATATATATGTGTGTGTGTATATGTATATATATGGTTGTGCGCAAGTCGTTTCTGTGCGCACTGAGTTGTCAACTCCACTGCTCGCGCAAACATCCCGCCCACACACACACACACACACACACACGCAATTGGGCTTGCAAGACCCATGCGGCGGCGATTTCGATGAGTGCTTGGTGTTGGCTGATGCATATCTGCGGCCGCGTTGGCCCGCGCATGCTCGCGCGCACAGCTAGTTTGGCGCGACCGATGCGGCTGCGGTGGCGCTGACCGCTGGGCACTCCCCAGCGGGCACTTCCGTGCGAATCGACGACTTGGGCGGGCGCGGTATCATGGCAACGATGCGAATGACGATGATGACAACGACGACGGCACGGCCAGTGACGGCGCCGATGCTGATCACGCCAGCGACGATGACGGCGTCCTCGCGTCGGTGGTAAAAAGGTTTTGAATGGAGTTCGGCATGCGCGCGCGGCCGGCGCGCGAGAATGACCCGCATGGTATCATTTGACACGGACCGTGCCCCCCCCCTGCACGCGCGCCGTTAGAAGTATTTCCACCAGCGGCGCGAGACGCCAGTTTGGCAGAACCTAAAAAAGGATATCAGAAACATGTTTTCCGAAGGACGTGCAAAAGCGCGAGTGAGGGCTTGTTAAAACATGTTGCTGCAGAGCCACATGACTATACACTATACTTATATATATATATAGCATAAAGATACTGTTCGTGACACACGATTTTGAAACCTGGACGAAACCGAAGGTTTGTGAAAGATCGCGGCGTGCGCGCGACGACGCGCGTGTGCATGTCGTCCAGTCTCTTGCACGGAATTCTTGCGGCAGCACGCGCGCAAGGGCCCTCGAACGATTTCGACATGCGCGAAAGGGCCCTCGATGTGGAAACCCGTACGAAGCCGAAGGTTTTGAAGGAGCTCGGCATGCGCGCGCGACGACGCGCGCGTGTGCTCTTCGCCCTTCTTTCCCGCAAGGGGTTTATGGATTTTGATATCGGGGTGCGCGCGCATAGTATCTTTTGCAAAAAATGAGGGGGGAGGCGATACTGGCCTGCCTGGGATGGTATGAATACAAACTTCGGATGGACGATGGGGGAGAATCACAAGTACACTAAAATACGATAAGAGGGGGCCGTGAAGTCCTGGGGGAACTAGAT